TATGCATTTCCTTTAAACCCATACAGATGGGTATATTTCCACTTGCACCATTTTAGGCAATGGTAGTAAAGGCCTATGGTGTTAACTGTAAAAAACACTTCAGAACTGAACAGTCTCTTCCGTCCAAATCTAACATAACCTGTCAGTATACTGTGCACTTTATCAAATCAGGATCCTCAGAATGCACCTTATAGGCTTTCATAAAAACAGTTATTTGCTAATAGGTGAGGTAGAAAGGATGAAGTAGCAAAACTAAATTCTCTAGGCAAAATGATTCCCAAGGAAGGTTAGGATATTCTGATGGCAATTACAAGAAGCTCATGTTTTAAATACTGCACAAGCAACTTCAAGCCATTATCTTTGTAAACATTACTTATTTGTATATGTTTTTTCAAGGACACATACCAGGGAGACAAGTAAGGTGAGAAGTGTGGTTCTGATCACAGTCCACCTCTGGGTAATCTGAACAGGTATTTGTTTCTTTCTCCATGGTAGCTCTCTGTTTTCTGTGGCCTCTAGACTAATGCTGCATGGAGACAACTCTCCCCCCAGAAGGGATTTGGGTGCAGTTCCAACAGTGGGTTGGGAATCAGACCTGAAGAGAAGAGGGAGTTAACAGCACCTCTCTAATAGGGAGAAACATTTAAGAAAGGAGTCACTATCTTCACTTGTTAAGTGACAGATTTTTTCATACTATGAGACCCAAGCCCTTCAAAAGGGCTGAGGTTTCCTGACTTCCAGTGAAATGCCTCAGGCACAACATAGTAGGTCAAAAACATATGGCAACTTATGCCCCACTAGAAACAGAGGAATTGGAAAACATACATCTTGCACGTCTTCCTCACTCATCCATAAAAAATCCCTTCAAGAGAAAGGGAGGAAGTATTTGGCCCCAAATCAGTGACACAGCAGCAGTCATTCTTGCGTGTTAACTTTGGTCCTATCAGCCTACCTTGAGAGTCAGATGTGAAAGACAAACACAAAGTACAGCGACTGATGAGCTGCATGCACAATTCTGAGCTCACTGCCAGAAGCAGAAATCCTTTAGACTGATATTTTTACAGGATAGTAGAACTGGGAAAAAAATTAAACCCACTTTTTTTAAAAAAAAAAATTCTTTCAATACCAGTGGTGGATAAAATATGCTAAAAGTCTGGCCTACAGAGTTTCTCTGATAAATCTCAAAACTCAAAATGATTATGAACCAAGCCAACAAAAGAATGACTGTCCACAGTTACTATTTTGATATATGCTAAGTGTATGAATAAATAAGAAGCAAAGACTCGAGCACAAAATGGTCATACCAGAGTCATTTTCTAATGAGATTTTCCCCTCAGATCTTTGCTATATAATAAAGCAAAATTAAAACTTCTAGAGGTATCAAATAGAACCTTGGAACTATTTATAAAATTTTGCTTACAAGAGGAGAAAAACACAGCTTGCTGCTTATCAAGAACTGTATGCTGTGGATCAAGTGGACGGGTGAGGAGGAAGGACTGAAACTATTTAAGTAATATCATGCTTTCTACTTGTGACTGTAAAGTCAGTAATGTATAAGGGTTTCTGAAAAAAAAAGAAAGTTCTTTCCTGAAGGTTCACATTTAGTTCTACAAATACAGCCTTTGGTAGAAGAGGAAAAATAGAAACAAGAAAAACTCTGAGAGGCTGTTCAGTTCTGACCCAATTATAACAATAACAAAGGCTGAAACAGGTAGCAAGAATGCAAGCAGATACACACTCCAAGTAAGAACAGCATATGTAAAATGGAACTACTGGATCTAGTTTGCTGAATGTGCTATAAACATGGCAGTGCAGGAATTCCTAATGCAATCCATGCCTGGAGCTAGAAAACGTACAATACGCATGTGCAGCACCATATTGTGCTCTGGTTTATACCAACAGATCAGTGGTAGCCAGTCTTGGGTGACTTGAGCTCTCTGGCTCCTGGAACTTGGCTATATTTATCCCAGCTGATGTAGCCTGTCAAGTGTGTCCTGCTGTTGATAAGGTACCGTAGTTGACAACAGTGGGGGATCAAAGGGGAGGAGCAGGATGCGGCTTCCACCAAGTGTTTCTTTAGGGGGTCTCAAAAGCCCTGCAGTCACATTCCTGTTTAACTCAGACCCTGCTTTCTCCACAGAGCTGGGAACTTCACCAGAAACAAAGTGAAGATGCCAGAGCCTGTAAAGAAAACGGGTAAGGATCGTAACTGACAAACAAAACCTAAGAACAGCTTGACAGACAAAATGTGAGTAGATTATGTATGCTACGAGATGCCTTGGTGGAAAAATAATAGAGAGGAAAAAGAAACTATATTTTATTAAGTTATAAATGTTGAGATATTGAGTGATCTTGCAGAGCAATCAGTAACTAGTTTGGCAACCTTCAGCCACAGAATTTTCTCAAGAGACTTTGGATGAGGAAAGAATAGAGATGAAAAGCATTTAATTTTCAGATTCTTTTATTCCTCATTTCCTTTCCTAGTCACCTTTAGGACTCTGAAAAACGCCCAAAGCTTGTAGTCTCTCTCTTGGACAGTTAAACAGTATAAACCTCTCCTGGTTTTGTTTTGGGTTTTCGTTTTTTTGCCCCTGATAATCTGTAGAATTGTTATCAGCAAAATTTGATGGTATTTATTGTTAGTGAAGTCTCTGTGAAAATGAAAGCAAACAGTACCTGGCTCAGAGCTTATTCTTTCTAGTTATTCCAGCCAGTGACAATAGAGCTCTAGGGGAAAAAAAAACAGTATAAACCTCTCCTGGTTTTGTTTTGGGTTTTCGTTTTTTTGCCCCTGATAATCTGTAGAATTGTTATCAGCAAAATTTGATGGTATTTATTGTTAGTGAAGTCTCTGTGAAAATGAAAGCAAACAGTACCTGGCTCAGAGCTTATTCTTTCTAGTTATTCCAGCCAGTGACAATAGAGCTCTAGGGGAAAAAAACCACAACACCTGGCTCAGAGCTTATTCTTTCTAGTTGTTCCAGCCAGTGATAATAGAGCTCTAGGGGAAAAAGACCACAACATTGTGCTGTGAAGAATATATGCAATTTCTTTTCCCTCACCTTCCTCCATCCTTTCCCCTTGAGCCAGAAGATAACTAGCCCTTTTCAGAAAGTCAAAATTACAGAGGCATAGAGAAAAACCTCAGAAAATATTTCAGATATTTGAATGTTCTAATTTAAAATCTACAAATAAGGCCTCACTTAGGTGCTGCTCACTAAGGAAAGGCTTACGATGGGGTTTTTTTGAGATGGAGGAAAAGAGCCCAGGAAGCAGAGGTAGGGAGAATTTAGCTTCAGGACACCTGTGGAGAAGGATGGCTTAGGAATACTTGATGTCACAAGTAAGTTTGGAAAAAACAGTTGCCAAAAGCTGAAGTTAAGAAGTGTGCACATATTCAATACACAGGGCTGGAGAAAATTGTACTTAACCTGTGATTCTCGCTGTTAGAGCTCCCAATTCAGTGAGGCCAGTGCGTACACATATTCAGCACTACCTGAATGTACAGAACAAGGTGCATGTGTTTTTAATAATCTGCAGTTTCCAGAGTTAGTCGATAACGGCTGTGGAATCTTATTAATAAAGGCCTTTGTGCTTTGCAAAGGCCTGAGCAGGGATCAGCCTCCTCCTAGTCTGGTCAGTGAGAAAATCTCCTGTGGTCACCACAACAAAAGAAACAGTTGTTAAGAAGAACCTTCATTTGACCAAAATATTTGCAATCAGACACTGCTGGAGGGAACCTGTGTCTCCCATTGCAAACTGCAAAGCACTAAAGCACAATTAACTCCAACAAGATTCTCTATGTTCCCTCTATATGATAACCCTAGAGCAACAGTTGTGTCACCAGTCCTTCCATTTTACTACAACTGTACTATCATTTTGTATTCATAAGGCTGCAAGTTCTGAAATAATATGGAAGTAGATTCACATATAAAGTAAGAAATATACACCAGATCTTGTAATTTTAGAGAAAATCTTGAAAACATAAGCTGCAAAATTCAGTAATCACCACAAAAATAAGACATTCATTATCATATTCTGTTTTTAAAGTCACATGATTTATAAGATTTATTGAAATGTTTAATGATTGTGAATGCAGGTAAAAAGAAAAACAACAGAGTAGGCAGAACTTGACCATGTGAACCACCTAGGCACTGTGACTTTTGATTTCTAACTGCCCTTTAAATTAACATTTTCATTCTCTGTGCATGAGACACAATGTCTCTGTTTGTGAAGATGTCCACCTTTGCTGTCTAATGGTGAAGAGAAATTCTATTCCAATTTATTTCTCCAGAGAAATCTAACAGGTGTCTAACAGCACCAGTCCTACACAGCTCTTATGAACAAACAGACCAAACACTGGGATTATCACAGCAGGGGAGGAAAAGCTCTTGTTACCCACTCTGACCGAGAAGAATCAGTCACATGCCCCATAACTTCTAGAGGGGATCTTCTCAGTCTCCCAGGAGACACTAATCCCTTTGGTTTTCTGTTTCATGTTGTTTATACAGTTCAAATCATTTCAAGATGGGATAGTGTTTAGCATTATATCAGGAGATCCAAATAACCATCAGGCAATTCATACTTGGATAAATCACAATTCCTCTTTCACACACCACAGAGTTAGAATACCGAGGAGCTCAAAGAGGCCCCTCGTCTCTATTACTGAAATTCAGGCATCTGATGTTTAGATAAAGGAAAATTCTTCATGTCAGGGAATGATCAGAGATATTCTGCCTATATCTGCTGTTTTAACAAACCTTTTAACTTGTCAAAAAAGCAAGACAACAACCCAATGAATAAACCATTAAACTTAGAATGGTGAAGTCGCCTTTCCAACAGACATTCTTTCACTTCAAACTGTCCAACTAAAATACTCAGGATAAGGCACTTGCCTATTTATTACAAAACGCCAAAAGAACTGTCCTAGCATTCCAGAAAATCTATGCAATTGCCAAGAGCAACAGGATTTAGAAGACCTGTAACAATTCAGTGTCAAAGCAAACTAACAAACTTTTTGCAGGATTCTGTTGCAGAAAGTTTATGTTCTTCTCCCATTGATTTAAACATTTCCTAGTTAAACTTTGTTTAAAAATTCCTTTTTGGAAAAATTGTATCTTTTTTTCTTTATTGGGAAAACTCAGAAATGTTAAAAAAATCCCCCCAAACTTCCCAAATATTAACAATATTTTATGACATTAAGAGGAAACAGATGACTCTTTAAACAGCAAATTTAGAAGATAACTGGGACTTAATGGGAACTGTGTGCATTACTATATCTGGAAAACAAGAAGTCTGTATTACTTACCTACTCTGAAAATCAGTCAACTTGTATTCATGTATTTTACAGATTGAGGAGCCTAGATTTTGCAGTTATTACGAAGCATCTATAAATGACCTGGCTTCTAAGTACACAGAGGCTTTTGGCATTCATAACAATCAGTGCTGAGTAATGAAGAGCAAACTGTAGAATTTTAGTTTGCACATGAGGTCATTCTTTTACATTTGCAAGCACCTAGCACAGCGAAGTACTGCTCCAGGAGGATGAACTTCTGGCACTACAGGAATGCAAGAAAAATTTTAAAAATTCTTATAGACATAGTTTCTTCTTTTGTAAGTTAAGCTTCAAACCAAGCTAAACATTATTATCGCCATTTTACAGAGAGTATGATGGATGCATAGAGAGAGAGGTGCCTGATTAGTGAAGCTATTCCTCGCCTGTTGCTCATGTTGCAGGAATTTGTAATCTCAATTGCTGAAGTAGGCAAGGAATGATAAGATTGAGCTGTTCAATAGATTTTGGATCACAGAATAAATAAGCTTGTAATGGCAAAACGTCACTTAGGTCCTGACCGAGGAATGCACAGCATCTTTATATCGTTCCTCAGAAAGGAATTTACAAGCTCCATTACCTAAGTCTGCTTATCCTCAGTTTGGCTTTTCACTCAATGGAAGAGCAAACGGTATAGAAGGAAAACTAGATGCCAAGTGTAAGCTCAATTTTCAACATGAAGCCTTAACAAATTAAAGAATTCCTAAAGCTAATACTACTTTTGTAATGTTAGTTAAATACATTGGCCAATAAATATGCTAATGAATGTGCAGTAAGATAACAGTTTTGTGGGAGAAACCTGTTACTATTTAGTCTAATTTCACTCACTACAAATTTCTGCTGGAGATCGCAGCAGCTGCATTCAACCAGATACATTAGATTCTCCCCAAGCATTTATACCTTTATCAGATTTTATTTCTGAAAGGCAGAAATATAATTTGAAAAGCTCATCTAACATGCATTCTGCTTAAGTGCTTTTCTTCCTCTCTTCCACCTACGGATCACAAATAATGAATGATGAAGAACTGAGGTCAGAGCCACTATTCTGAAAAGGACTGAAAAAAAGAAAGCCAAACTAAAAAACAACAGGAACTGCAAGAGAATGACTCTCCTCTATCACTCTAGTTCAAATCACTCTTGTGGAATTCACACTTCTTCCTCACTTTCATTTCACACGCTTCACGCGTATTTTGAAATTCCATTAGTCTTCAGCTAATAGATGGTTCAACAAAAGAGTAAAGGAAATAATTTTTAGTACAATGTAGAGTGACCTGGGTAGCAGCTTAGTCATTTCTAGGTTTTCGCATATGAGAGTATGAAAAAGATTTGAAGCAGAATACTAAACTGGTTTAATGGTGGATGTTGGAAAGAGATTACTTCAAAGCGGGTCAGAAAGTAAGGGAGAAAACATGAAGGTTCTAGCATGAAGATCTAATAAATGGTAGCAGCAAGATGGCAGAATGCTTGTTCTATGATTTTATTCAGGTGAAAAGTGAAGTACATTAGTTTTGGAACTTGTTTCATTCTAGTTTAATTTGGCCAAAAGCAAATGTATTTTATATTTCCTCATCTTCCTGATTGAAAGACCTATTAATAAATTACCAAAATGCAGTCTGATCACGGTCCTCCAAATGGAGCTTTTTATTACTAAACAGTGAAGCTGCAGCTCACATAATGTGCATAGCTGTATGGTTGATGTGTACATCTTCAGGTGTTACAAGACCTTTGAAGGATGCCTGTTCCGGTAGCTGCAGCCTTAGCACCAAAAAATTTCTGCAAGATAATTCCAGACCACACACAGCCTGCATCCTCTTCTGCTCGGGGCAAAAATTTGCTGGTTTATGTTACTCAGAAGTTATGTGAAGGTGTTTGCCTTATGGAAGCCAGAAGAGATTAGGAAGGCCTGGGATATGCGAAGTAAAGTTTTGAAAAATGGGTTAGTACGCAGTGGTCCCAGCCTCATTTTCTTTTATTAGCTTCACATCCCTCTCCTCTCCTGGCGTTAACTCCCCATAGCAATTCCAATTCCATCCCCACAAAATGCAAACACAGAGAGCACATGTCGCTCCTCTTCAGTAATCCCTGTCTTCATCAGCACCGGTAACTCATGTGCATCTCTGCTCTCTCTCTCCAGAATCGCTGTAGTGTGCTAGTGCTGTCACTTCTCTCTACTCTTGTGCAGGCTAGGTTAGAATATATCAGGAATCAGAGAGTTAACAAAGTGGGTGGCAGAGGACATGGGCTGCTTGGTCATCAGGTGCCTCAGCCCTATGGCTCCTAAGAGCATGTTCAACTGGAGTCTGGATAAACGTGACAGTGTCTGAGATCTGTCAATGCCTGACAGGCATAAGAGCCACAAGACATTCCACAACATCACACAAAAGGCATCACAGTAATTGAGTTTTCCACAGCCTGATGGTGGTGGTCATATTCAAGTGTTTAGAGTATGGGATAGATATATGGAACTCAGAGGACTGTATCTGGGTAGAAGCCAAATGTTGCATAGTGAGAGAGATTGCCAGACAGGGAATGTGTTTCTGATAAAAGCAGGCAAAAGTGCAGCTCTCAGGACAGACTAGAAGTTTTGAATGATGGTGTTTGGGAACATTCCTAATGAGGAAATAGCTGAATTTGATTGGTATAACTTCACGAGAAGAAAACTTCTGGTGCACTTGGTGCTACGTGTTACTTAAAATAGCAGCCACAATGGAGGGGTGGGGAATAACTGGTCTCTTTATTCTGTTAAGCAGCATGGTTTTTTCCCCAGAAAGAAAACTGGTGGTATTCTCTTCACGTGCTTGTTCAGCAATCTCTCTTCTGCAATGAAGAAATTGCCTGTAAAATCTCCAGCCCTACATCTCTAGTTGCCCTTTGCAAACGGTGAAAGATGAAAGAGAATAGAGCTGGATACAGACACCGCTTAGGACACTGCCCCCACTGACTGAATCTCAAGTGCAGGAAAATGACTCAACGAAAAACTGAGTCTCCTTTACCTGTGAAACAGTGGCTCTGCAACAACTGTTCTTGCAGGTCTTTGTTCTCATAGGAGATTTTAAGCTTTTCCAGTTTTATGCTTTACTGGAAATATTCACAGTCAT